TTTCTTGGCCAGGTTATTTTTGTTATTTAGGATGGTACAATGATTCACAGATTTTCAATGTTTACAGACCTTAAATACACAAGGACTTTTGTTTTATAGTTTTTCAGTCTATGTTTTTTATTTTGTTCGATTTCTTACAGACCAGACAGGAATTTTAAAACTCACAGACTTCGGATTTGCAAAAGAAACTTTCTCAAAGGACACACTGCAGACACCGTGTTACACTCCGTACTATGTTGGTGAGTGTGTCTTACATATTCTGCTTTACAGCAGTGTTTCTTTTAATAAACTTTACTTTTGACAGAATTTTCTAGTTAGGAGTTAGGGAGAATGAATTGCCTTTAATGAGGATAAGCAGTTGTAGGAGGTTGTATGCATGGTGTACATTTTTTAAGGAATAACACACTGAATGAGGAAGTTTTTATTGACCTGCGTCTGTTTAGTGCCTCATTGAAGGTACTGTCTCATTCTGAAGTTGTACAGAACAAAGTGTGACAAATTTATATTCTTTGTAACAGCTGTTATTACATTGATACTTGTCTCCTAGAAAATTTCTCTTCACAGCATATATTCCAACAGACCACCATTGTCACAGATGTACGAGGTGCGATCGGAAAGTTTCCAGACTGCGCCTATATTTAAAAAAAAAAACCGTACACTTATCTCGGGTATTAAATTCATCCATCACCCTCGGAGTAGTTCCCCTGGGAGTGAACACAACGATCCCAGTGCCGCTGCCAAGCCTGGAAGCATCCCTGGAAATCTTTCTTTGTCAGCCTGTCGAGCACCATCTGCGATTCTGCCTGAATCTCTTCTATCGTCTCAAATCTCCTTCCCTTTAGCTGAATTTTCATCTTTGGGAAGAGGAAGAAGTCACACGGCGAATAAGGAGGGTGCGGGATGACGGCCATGGTGTTTGAGGCCAAAAACTGCCGAACTTTGAGGGCGGTGTGCGCTGGCGCGTTGTCATGATGCGTCGCATGTGGAGTTCTTCCTTTAGAATCAGCTGACATGTCCCATAGCCTATCCCAACAATGTCGCATTAGTCGTTGATGGTACGACGTCGATCTTCGTAACATTTTCGGGCGTTGTGCTCGAAGATGGTCGTCCAGAACGCTCGTCATCATCGACAGCGGTTCGGCCATTTTTAAAACGTGAATGCCCCACAAAAGTTTGTGCACGACCCATTGCGGACTCCCCAAATGCTTGCTTTAGCATTTCATAGGTTTCCGTAGCCGTTTTGGCGAGTCTTTGGCCAAATTTGATGCACACGCCATTCCGAAATCGCAGGAGGGTCGGTGTAATGCACTACCAAAACGCCCGTAACTAAGAAACAAATGCTAATTCGATGATGCCGGCTGGCACACTGATTCACTTTGAATGTAGGCCGCACCCCCTAGCGGCAGAAGCTCGTACTACATCCGGTTCGCCCTCTATTGACACAGTCTTGAAACTTTCCGATCGCACCGCTTATGTAAGAACAATATAAAAACAAGTTCTATGTACAGTAACTCATATCAAATGGTTAAGGTTTTTCAGATTCGTTTTATCTAAGCTGTAGCCAGAGATTTTTAACAATTTTACAGTATTATAACATTTTAAAGCAGTGTTAACTTTGGAAAACTTTGTAATTAAGGTGATTCACTGTACAGATATTGACAGTTTGGATTTATTGATAATGCCTCGCCTTTTCAGCACCAGAAGTTCTTGGTCCAGAGAAGTATGACAAGAGTTGCGACATCTGGTCACTGGGAGTCATTATGTATATTCTGTACGTATTGTGTTTTCATGATTAATTCAGAGTGTGCATGGTTACATGACTGTTACGTGAAATGGTATAAAATGAGGAAGTAAAATTTCAGGTTCTCGTAGCCGCACATATGAAGATGCCTGTCTTCTGGGTTGTTGTGGTATGTTGTCTTCTACCAGACTACATGGTGCAACAAACCAGAAGACAGCCATCTTCAGGAAGTAAAATACGTTAAGAGATGTTGCATGTATAAAATGCAGTCCATGACATATGAAGAGAGTGAATGAAATATTCTCATGTGATTTATTAAATTGCTGTTGGTTGGACACATGATTTAGGCGTAACAGACCCTTTTTGTGTGTACAATTAAAAGTATGTAAAATCAGGCACAGGTGCTTTTGGCTAGTGAACTTAGTGAATGGAAAAGAATTACTAGTTTGAGTAGCTGTGGTCCATATACATTCACTTCAAATAAAGATGAGTTACAGTCAGTGCAGTAGTAATGTTGCACAAGGAATATTTTCTGTTTTGTTCCTATACATGTACATTGAATAGAATTTCAGGTTGGCCTTGGTATTATGTCTTCCAAAAATAATGCCGCTGCTAACAAACCTTCACTTATACAGTTTTCACTGGTCATTACTGCTATTGCGCTACTGCTGTTGAGGTCATTGTCTTGAATTTTTTTTTTCTGCTGTCCTGCTACGCATCATGTAGGTCAGTGGTCCCAACCAATTAACAAAGCCAAATTTTCTTTTCTCTGGACAAATAAGATATGGACACAAAACAACACGACGTTTAATGATACAAGAAACCATGCAATCAAAAATACGTAGTTTTATAAGCACAATTACTATTAATCAAGTGGGTAGTTAGTATGATGTTTGACGCTGCATTTCATCGGCCAGTTTTTCAAATTTGGGAGTGTAGGATGATGTTGCTGCTCACAAACAATCGTCAAGATGGGCATCAGTAAGTCGAGATCTGCGCTTTGATTTTATAATGTTCGTGGTTGAACGGCCTTCTTTATTCAGTATAACCTCTTTCCGTAACAATGTGGGCACCCAAAAAAGGCCTTGGCAGGCGCCATGGCGCCCGCGGGTACCGCGTTGGGGACCACTGATGTAGGTCTTTTGGGGGAGTGGAGGTATAGCTCCTACTCTTTCTTGACCTCGTCACTAGATGGGGGTGAGTGGTCAGCATCATGCCCCGGCCACGCTTTACCCCCGGGAAAGGACCCCGATACCCATTGGATAGGAGGATAGGTGGGCCCCAGAGCCGGTCTGGACACAGAGACTAGAGGAAACATTCTCTGCTCCCGTTGGGGATTGAACCCCTGTCGTCCATCCCGTAGCTAGTCACTATACTGACTGAGCTATTGTCTTGAATTATTATTTGTTCATATATAGTGGGCTGCTGGCTCTTCATTCAGTACTGCGAGTGCAGACGAACACAATACGGGCAAAGACCATGTGTTGTTTGCCTTTAGTAAGTATTCCCCAGTTAGTCTTTATCCACATACAGGGAGAGAAGACACACACTAATTGAAAAACGCATAATCAAAAATACTCTATTCTGAAGGGTTCTGACGATTGTGTAATAAAATCTCAGTTGCTGAGTTTTTGGACTTTGTCCATCATCTGATGTTATAAAGTTGCAGTGTTTCAAGGACTGGATCTGTCCTTGTCTTCAGGCGTGGTGTCAGCGAAGGATACTCTGTGGGGTCCATCAGAATGAGCTTATCTCAATTAGTTGTTCCATTCAACTGCAATAACACTGCGTGGTTGTAATGTTGTAATTTATATGAATCACCACATTACAGTTTGAGAGCTTTGGTATTTTTAATTCACTGGGCAAGTTTTTTCCTTCTTAAATGGGCTATTCCACAGAAAGAAGTATCACAAGTTTTACTGAAAAAAATTGAAGTGCCTTCTTGCATATTTGTCTGCTATTTGCATTGTCTCGGCATTAATCTTGTCTCTGGTCCCTCTTTTTCCTTGATCTGACAGTGTAACACATAACCATTAGAGCTATATGTGACCCCAGACCTTTATGAATCACTTTGTTGGTTTCTGAGTCTTGTACTGTTTTATACAAAATTTATCTTTGAAACTTGTCAGGACCTTGTCCACTATTAGATCCATTATTCTTTAATTGGCATTGGTGTCTTCCGAATTCCATTCAGGTACACCAGATTTTTTTTGGAGAAGGCAGCAAGTTTATCGGTGTCTTCTGTTACCGTCTCACAGAATGGTCTACAATAAATTTAAGTAGTCTTTTTCATCACTTCTGACAAGAAGATTATGGTACAGTCCTTGAATTTTTTTTAAAATGATTTAATATTATCAAAGTTCCAGGTTTGGCTCCGTTTTAATTTACGTTACGTTTGCTTTGTATAGTTTGGGCATTCTCACTAAAAAATTTCCCTGTATTGTCTTCTCTTTTATTTTTTGGTGTGAACTTCATCTTCATGTTGCTACAGCACCATAATTTTCTTAATTATTTTCTAAAATCTTTTATATTGCACTGTCACACTGATTTTGTACAGACCCAGTATGTGAGATGTAGATGCCATTGCCTTGACTCAGCATTGAATTACAGCTAGTGACAAAAGGGCTTTGAGTTTCAGCTGACATAAATGCTGCTATTTATATATAAATCATGGGGTCAGGAGAATGTACTATGCACAAGCAAGAGAGTCCAAGAAAGTTTTGCAACTTCATCGAAACTTCATGTTTTTGTCAGTAACTAACATTCTTATGAGCATTCAGATTGAGAGCGTTTTTGAACGTTAAGGCTTGGATGAGGATTTAAAGTGTTTAGAACTCTAGAGCATTAGGGCTAGCAAAAGATTAAATAAATTTTCCGTAAAGCAGGTGGCAGTTGTCTAGCATAGGATTCAGTAACATAGTTCTGTTATATAAACCTGCTAGTTCCATAAAAACTTGGGAGTAACTCAGTTACTAGTACACCCTCTTTAACCTTATTCTTTAGAATTCATTGTTTTAGTCCTATTATTTTGTTTCCTTTCACATACAGTTTGTGCGGTTTCCCACCGTTCTACAGTAACCACGGACTAGCCATCTCTCCAGGCATGAAAAAGCGTATCCGCACAGGACAGTATGACTTTCCAGACCCTGAATGGAAAAATGTGGCTCAGGATGCTAAGGAACTGATTCGAGGAATGTTATGCATTGACCCCACTCAGCGTCTCACAATTGAACAAGTGATGCGTAACAAATGGATTGCTGTAAGAATACATTGGTTTTCTAAATTTTTATTATTCTGACAAGGTCAATTACACACTAGAACTGTAGTATGAAGTATTTCAGCACACCATGTAAATTCAGGGTGTAGTGTTGTACCATTTTTGAAATGCCTTATAGCATTTGGCCAGACACCACTCAGTTCTGAGAGCAGAGTAATCTGACTACTTGTCACAGAGTGAAACTGTCCACATGCTAAAACCTTGCAATCTACATTACAAAGCCTTAACAACAGCTGAATTTTGACTTGACGCAGTGTTGCGCAACCTTTCTACACTCGTAGCACACTGAATATTGTCGAATAGTCATTGTGGCACACCAACCCCATTTTGCATATCGTGGGAGGGGGTTAGATCTTATATGGAATTGATTGGCCGCAACAACTTCTTCTAAATCAACCACAACCGAAAAATGTTCTATTTCATGTTTATACTAATTCATTTTTATTATTATGTCATTTATTTTAAATATATTTATTATTTTAAATAAATTAAAATATAATATTTCCTAGTGGTTGATTCAAAATTTATTAACTATGTGTAAATATTTAAACTTAAAGATACTTATTTATATTTGTACATGTAGATTGCAGAACAATACACAGAGTGGCAATAAAAGTAAAGGGGAGGTACACATGTTTTGCTGCAAAGTGGTTTTTTGTTTTCCAATTCCATTTAGTAGATCGTGTCTGTCCTAAGTCTGCGCTATCATAATAAAGAAAATGAAAACTGGGACAGAGCAGAAAACAAGATTAACAATTATTTATCTCATTATGATTGTAATTATAATATGAGGTGAAAATTTCGTGGCACACCTAGATGGCCTCCGCAGCACATGGTGTGCCGCGGAACACCAGTTGCACATCACTGACTTAACGCATCCTTGCTGATACAGAAGTACTATATTGACCTGACTGTAAGATGGTGGTTTTTAAACATTATTTTTATTCTAAATAGGGAGTTTTTTTATTTGTTAAAGAAAACAAATGGCTATGCAACCTGCAATAGAAATTAAGCACTAAATCTTCTAAGTCTGAGACTAGTCGTGCTGTAACTGTACAGCACCATAATTCTGGTTATTCTTAATCTTGTTTTGTCCATATTCCATATGTGGCTTTTCGGCACCTTCCATTAATTACTTACGTCATATGTACATTAAGCAAAGACACCAGTATGTCTGCCTCCCATATCCATACAAATTAAAAGTGTTTCAAAAGCAGCAATCATTAGTGGGATTTGAGGTTTTCATGGCAGTGAGTCTGAAGATGTCTGTCTTCTGAGTTGTAGCACCATGTAGTCTGATAGTCACAGTGCTACTACCCAGAAAACAGCCATCTCCAGTAATCGTTACATTTTCATTTTCTCTGCCATAATACGCACACACTGTTTATCTGCTCCTCTGTTTTTTAATCCATGGCTCTGCTTTTGAATTACGTTTCATAATGATGCAAAAGAATACATAAATCTTTATGTACTGTCATTGATACCATTCAACCAAAGAAAGCTTTAAACAGAAATAGGTACTCTCTGGCTGTCTTCTGGGCTCAGCACTGTCATCCCCCTGATGATGGAAACAGCAAGGATCTCTGAAACGTTGGTATATTTCTACCAGACTACACAGCGCTACAACTCTGAAGACAGCCATTTTTGTTTTCCCTGCTGTGAGATCCTCAAATTCTGCTAATTCTTTTAGTGTTTATAGTAATTTTACCATTGAGATTTGAGGTTTTCTTGACTACAAGTTTCGGTTGTTGTTTTCTGGGTCATGGCACCTGAAGACAGAGGTTGTAAGTTCCTCAGAAATGTCAGTAACCACCCATAAAACTATCTGGCATAACCCAGAAGACCACAGTCCAAATAATGTTACCTACCGGACAAAAGTTTAATAACTTATGGACTGTTACGTGGAAGGTTGAGATTCCTGATACATGAATTTCTTCATTTGTCGTAACTGTGTATGGTGCAGATTTTAAATTAAAGGTATTGAGGTACAACAATAACTAACAGATCCATGGCATCCAAGAATACATTTTTTGGGGGCCAAGGTGCTACGTTGCAGAAACATAAATACTAAGTACAACTTTCACCAGAAAACCATTCTCTAGACCAGTGGTATTCAACCTGGGGTACGCGAAGACATCTTAGGAGGGACATGAAATTTAAAAAAATTATATATTATTTTATGATAAACACTGAATAATCAGTAATGTAATTTATTTAATTTATTTTAGATGTAGATTATATACTATGTATAACTTGAATTATACACCAACAAATTTGGGGGTAAAAAGTTGAAGAGAAATTATATCTGGGGGTACGCGAACAATAAAGGTTGAATACCACTGCTCTAGACTGAAAATTTGTCATTTTGAAGAGGTAGAAAAAGGGTTATCTTTTTACTAGAGAAAGTTTCATAATAATCTTGTGTTAAGAACTAACAACATAATTTTCTCTTAAAAATGTACAGTGATTGGGGGGTGGGGGGCAGGTTCCTTTGAGGTTATCTTATAGTTGGGAAAATTTAGTGATAAAATAAGACTGGGACAGACTAAATAGATAGGAAGAAAACTTTAAGAAGGGGTGCAGCATGTGCTATTCTTGAGTGAGAAAGAAAAATATTTGATTAAGCGGAGACTTCACAGAGAAGTGACTGTGTTCAGTAGTTGTTTAGTAACTATCTCTTTGTGTATGACAGGATATACTTTATAAATGTAATGTTATGAGAAGCTAACAAGTAGTAATAAAGGAACTTCAATTAACATTTTTATTTGTAACTAAAATTGATAATTTAATGTCAAATAGTTTAGAAATGTAACCCACCAACTCTTATTTCATTGATATTTGGTACAGATATTGAAGCAGTCAGTGAACTAACGCTTGATAAGGTTTGTCTTTCAAAGCTGTCACAGTTAAAATGTAAGCCTTAACCAGATGAAGATTATTGGCCTCATAGATTCCTGTAAAAGAATTCTATGTACGCTACAGAAATGTCATACTACTAACAGGCAGTACTTCAAATGGTCTACCGAGCGTAACATTGCATTAGTGATGCTGAGTCACTTGAAATAATGAAACAGGAGTTAGTTATGGAATATCGTATTACCCTGTTCTCTGCATGAAACCACGGAAGTTAAGTTGTAATTGTGATATGTACTTGGTATATTTTTCTCTAGTATGTGACTAGCAAATTAAATCCTTGTGTCTAGGAATTATTATTAGTGATCTCAGTTTCAAATGGAATTTTTTTGTAACATAATCCATATCCTGAAATTTAAAAATACGTACTATATTTTGTGTTTCTTTACAGCAATATACAGAGGTGCCTCAAACACCCTTACATACAGGCCGTATGCTGCGTGAAGCTGAGGACATCTGGCCTGAGGTTCAAGAAGAAATGACGCGTTCACTGGCTACCATGCGTGTTGACTATGACCAGGTGCACATTAAGAATTTGGATAACACAAACAATCCTTTGTTGAATAAACGGCGCAAACGTGGGCTTCCGGATCCAACAGACGCTCCGGCCCAGTAATTTGCACGGTTAAATCCAATTACTGTGCGTTGAAGAAGATGCTTGAACTGGTTGAAGCAGCTGGAAGGGATTACTGAGAAATATTTGGTTAACTGAAGTCAAAGGTATGAAAGTTTTAAAAATGATTTAAATTTTGCAATGTGGGTATGGTGCAGATACATACTGTATTCTGCGCCATTCCTTTTCATGTTTCACTAGTTAATACATTTTATCGTGTAACACATTAGACTTGAAATGAGAAACATACATGATACTTCAGATGAAAAGTATACTTTTAAAACATTTATTTATATAGTTAATATATGTAATTTATTAGTGTTATTGTATAATTTTATCTTTTAATTTCTCTGAATGCTATGCAACTTAAAAGTGGGGTGCATAAGGTAGGCTGAGAATAAAGCTATTCAGTATTTCCTGAAGTATTTGACAGTCACACAGAAACTGGCAGTGCCTCTTGCAAATTGATCGAAGGTGCTGGTAAGGGTACAAACGTATTTAATGCAAGTGCAAATCATATGAAAATAGGCCTAATTCTAATGCCTTTTTAAGTCAAATTTATTTTGTATTTTCTGAAAATGTTATCGAGTGATTGCATTTATTACTTTCAAAAGCACCCTGTTGCCAAAGAAGCATTTTTTATGGGTTTTCCCCGTGATTTTGAATTCCATCAAAAAATTTAAATACGTACTACATTCTTTTTTCAATGAACGAGTGCTTATATCCGCTCGCTCACCGTACACACGTTTTCGTGTACCTTTGTAGCAGATTCTCCTCTGCCTACTAAAATACCCATCTTGTTGTGTAGGTGCGAATAGAAATAGAATGAACTTTAATATAGTGACAGAGAGATGTCCTACAAAAATCTTCAACTTCTTTTTGGTGATTTTTGCAAGTTGTATTCTGCCAGAATTTGTGTATAGCAAAATAGGAACAGTAATATGGTGAAGGCCTTGAAGCCCTGTTCTCTGGACTGAAGGCTTCTACCTACACACTTTACGTGAGGCAAATTTGCTCGTAGGTTATGTTAGGAAGGAGATTATATCCATAAGATAAGTTACAGCAGAAATGTTGGTTTTGCAGTTCTCAGGTGATAAAAGGTCATGGACTTGACAGTTGTATGGTAGACTGATTTCAGTGTACTCTTAACTGAAGAATCATTGTTATTGAACATTGCCTGTTTGTATATATGTGGCTTAGAAATATAATTTATATAATTTATGATTACAATTGTATTTTTCAACGTGAGAATTAAAATAAGAAGTGGCAGGGAGATCTGCACAGAAGCCACATGCCTGGACCACTGGCCTCGTACTTCTTAGTCGTGAGTTCCGTTTTAAATCCAAACAGAAACCTTGATGAACGGAATTCTGCTGGAATTAATTTTCTCACTTTCCACTGTTTATATGTCTTTTTCCATCATTTTATGTTGTCAGAATGATTATTATGAAGTAATTTCGAGTGTTATGAAACGAGTACTAAGTCATGCAGTGATAACGACAGTAGTGGCAGTGAGACTAAGGTTCTCATGGTGAAAATGATGTTCGTCAGTACCGCGGGTATTTACCATTGCTCTTAAGTACATGGCAGTCAGTTTTATTACCATCTTTCAGTAAAATTAGGTCCATTTACACTGATGTATATAGTATAGCATATTTTGAAAATATATATGTTCTGCGAGGATTAACGATTAATCTAACTTTTATTAGGTACTTTTAAAATATGATTTAGCTTAGAATTCTTTGAACACCAATTACTGAACATTGAACTGCCTGACTGGCTTCAGGACAGATATCTGAATTGTTAATTTACTCTAGTTTTCATTAGAAGATATTTTAAATATAATGAATTTTATTTCCGCAGCAACATAAGGTTTTCATGTCATAGTTTTGATGATGTGTCTTATACTTCCTGATAACATACATTGCTTCATATAACGTTAGGCAGATCCTCTTAGAATTAACCAGTATTTCATTTAAATGTGTGTCTTGATTGTCTCCCATTCTGGTTAATGGCTTTTAATTTTGATTTCTGCCTCATTCCAGCAAGTTGAACAATAGTTGAATGATTAATTTCCTTTATTCTGTGCAGTGTTGATGCTTTTGTCATACATGTAATTAATTGAACACAGGTTCTTCAACACAGAGTTAAGTGAGTCAGTTTACCAGAATGAAGAGTCATTGACTGGAATGGAAAATCAGAAAAGCATTGATTTGTTTAAATATTTAATTCTTGTGTCCCTAAAAGTAATGTTTTAAAAATTGTATAGAAATAACTGTAATACAAACCAGTTGGTGGACATGAGGTGCCTGTGGGTTCATTCTGTTCACAAGATGACAAGATCTTTGTTTGTGTGAAGTGTGTTAACATCTGAAAATACTGTTTATCTGTACAGCACGTAAATTAATATTTATAATGTGAAATTAAGTGAAAAATATGTGACTCTCATGCATCTTATGCACATTTAAGAGTGTCATGAATTCAGATGTCGTCCTTTCAGTTGTTAGATTGCTTTGCGGATAAAATGAGCGGTGGTGGTTTGGATTTCAAATAAATATGAAGGAATGATATGTTAACGCATTCACTGCCAAAATGTACGATTATATCAGTTTAGTGATGAGGTTTTAATACTGCCAGCATGGACTTAATGTGATTTATTGGACATACTGAAATTGATTAATATGAATGAATATTGGTTGCTGGAAGGATAATTTAGACTTTCAGGCATTATCATCAAATGCCAGGTACAGGCATACCTCGTTTTATTGCGCTTCGCAGAAATTGCGTTCTTTTACAAATTGAAGGTTTATGGCAACCCTGCGTCGAGCAAGTCTATCGGCACCATTTTTCCAACAGCATGTGCTCAGTTCGTGTCTCTGTGTCATATTTTGGCAATTCTCTCAATGATCTTGCATTTTTTTTAGACATAATGCTATTTCACACTTAATACACTACATTATAGTGTAAACATAACTTTTATATGCACTGGGAAACCAAAAAATTTGTGACTCGCTTTATTGCGGTGGTCTGGAACCGAACCCGCAATATCTCCGAGGTATGCCTGTATTTTGCCCTTGTATGACCCCTCTCATTAAGTCTTATGTGGTAACAAGCCAACTGTGTCTCAGCGTTCATATATGTTACTGGACTTCAGCATTGCCTTTGTGTTTGCAAGTTCCACGGAAGAAGAGATATGGACTCAAAAAGATTTGGAACACTAACAAGAGAAAATTGTGAGTGGCAGCAATTCTGATATCGATATTATGCCCAAATCAAGTCCATCAGAACCATCGTTAGAAGTCAATGAAGAAGACATTTTATAATCATCGGATTAATCGGGTCACCGAATATTTTACCAAAATTGTTCCCATTTGAAGACATCTGCAGCCTCTCTGACTACTTGGAAAGTGTTATAACCTCTGGCATTATGCGGATAATCATCATCAAAACCAATTTGTATATGCATAACAAATTGTAACGGTTGCTGAACCCATGCACTAAAGAAAAACATGGTGAACAGTAATAAATTTGGAAATGAAGATGTTAATGTGGCCAAAGAAATTGTTAATCTTACATGTTATCTTATGTTATTCAGTGTTTTCTCATCAACTCTTTTATACTTCATACTCAGGAGGCCAAAGTAAACATTTCTTGACAACGTAACCGACATTAGTGAGACACTAATCCATGTTGATTTTGATGCAATTTCTTCATCCGCTGGGTCTCTACTCCTACCAACAAAACAGGAACCTAACAAAGGCAGAGGATGTCAACTGGATGCTAAAATGAAAAACCACTAAATCATTCAGATTCTCACGGCAGAAGTTCGTAAGTACCTGCCAAAATGTTGCAAAGTGCATCTCGGAAAACATCAAGATTTTTATGTGCTCTGTATGAAATAACTATACATAACAGTACCGCACCATCCAAGTCTACCGAAGATAATGTAAAATTTTAATGTTTGTTGCAAAATTTGCAGTATATAGTTCTTTTCTTTGCATTGCAGAAGTCATCCATGGGCTTTAGACTTTCCCTGCATAGCAAAGAATATGTGTGAGTTAAATGAAGTTTAAAGATCCTTTAAAAATAATTGATATGTCTGGCTCAAGTATACAGGTAAGAATGTGTAGCTGAAAGGGTTAAAAGATATTTTGGTTGGAAAGAAGTTAATACTTGATTAGAATAATCTTATTATTCCTTTAGTCCATAGCTGTGACTGTAGTGTAGTTTAGTGTTGTGTATTGAGAATTTGAGGTGAAGGGACTGTACAGTTTAGTTTGAGGAAGTTGTGTAAAAGTTGGGTTTGTCGTTCTGTACTTCCCTCCATAACAGTATCTTATAATTCTGTATTTGTAGCAGAATGAAATTATGATATATTTTGTATCATTTCTGAATTTGTATATAATTTCTCTTCATTACTGAATGTAGGCATTAGTATTTAGTATTCATTGCGGTAATGTTTAATAACTTACACATGTAAAATATAATCAAGATACTGCGGTTGAAAAACAGCCCGACATGTTTCAACTCTAGTGGGTTGTCTTCAGGGGTATCTCTTAAGGAAAACATAATCTTCAAATGTTTTACAAGAACTGGCTTTGCTTTTTTCTATTTAGGATGTGATATGTGTAATCTAATCATATAAATTTGTTTAAACGTCTTAGTCTGTAAGCTGATGCCTATTCTTCGACGTCTTCCTTTGTCTTGTTTTAAAAATCACATATTGTTTCAGGTGAACAACCTGATCAGTTGGGTTGACTGGAGAAAGCTAATATCAGTTCTAGTTTGGGGATATTTTAGTTGCATAAGTTGACATAAATATGGAGTTCACTTACCAGTTTCATATTCACCTACTCCAATAAAATAGTAGGCCATGAACAAATTAAAACATGGAATGACAAGCTTATTATCCTAATATTTAGTCAAAGAATGTCAGAACAGTTAACATAATTGTGTGACATAATCATTGATTTCCTGGTTTGATGCTTCACAGATCACAGTCCTGATTATCTGGGTATAAATGTTGTCTTCTCGTCATAATACACTGCTGACTCTTCGCTAACTTCACGCGTATTGTTACACTGTGTTCTGCTTGTCACTTCAACACTGGACTCCCAAATTTGCAACTCCTTGCTTTTATTACAAGACCCACAACTGTTCAGCACAGATGACCCTCCATTGTTCCTAGCCTTTGTATGTTGCACCAGAAGCTAGGAGGATGCATTCAAAACACTGAGAAATGCATGCACTCCACACATTTTGCTTCATCACTGCAGCTAGTTACGATAGATTAGGGTTGAAAGGGGCAAAATTCTCTTGGGTGACATTATTGCCATCATACGTGACATCTTGTAAGATCTGAGGTTTTCACAGCGGTGAGTATGAAGATTTCTGTCTTCTGGGTTGTTGCACTGCGTAGTCTGGTCGATGTTAACCAACGTTTCAGAGGTCATACTGCCTCCGTCATCAGGGCGATGAGTATGAAGATTTCTGTCATCTGGGTTGTTGCACCATGTAGTCTAGTCGATATTAACCAACGTTTCAGAGGTCATACTGCCTCCGTCATCAGGGCGATGAGTATGAAGATTTCTGTCATCTGGGTTGTTGCACCATGTAGTCTAGTCGATATTAACCAACGTTTCAGAGGTCATACTGCCTCCGTCTTGAGGGCCCTGATGACGGAGGCAGTATGACCTCTGAAACGTTGGTAAACATCTACCAGACTATACAGCGCAACAACCCAGAAGACAGAAATTTTCATACTTCATCTTAATACAGTTCAAGTAATTCATCAGTACATAAATGAAAACATGTAAATTTAAACCTGAAATAACAGAAAGCGAAGATTTGTTCTTATGTCAAAATATTTGTAATAAATACAGGTATTAACCATCTCTGGCTGACACAGCCATTTTCTGGGGTACACAAGGCATGTCATTTTCTGTTGCATTCTTGTTTGGTAAAATGTTAGTTCTGAAGCCTCCTGGCACCACCTGACATCACATCAGAGTTTGTATTTGGTATGTCGTGCTTCAGAATGCCAACACATCCTTTACTCTTTACTTACAGAACGGGTACCCAGAAGTTACCTTCTTGGATTATGCATATTTGCCAGTACACAAACATCACATCTATGCCCCAGGTCGTTGATGTCAAGTAATCCCTTCTTCTAAACCTAATATTTTCCCATATCAGTCATTTGTTTGGCAGTAGCTGATTCGATGACATTCAGTTTATCTTACGTCTGATTGCCTGCCCTGTAACAATTAATAAGTTTAAGAGTTTTATTTTGAACCATTTGTGTTCCTTGGAGGTGTATTGTTTGAAAATCATCCTCCCTTTATGATTTAATCCACTGACAGATGTTAGACATCAGAATACTATTTGGAGAAGGCTTCATTCAGTAATTTAGAAATTCATCTTAATTTCACCACCAAATTAATAAACACTGCGCAGTGGCCGCGCGGTCTGAGGCGTGGGCCTTGTGCCGCGCGGTCGCTGGGACTGTGGGTTCAAATCCCACTCAAGCCATGGATGTTTGTCTGCGTTTTTCTGTGTTGTGCTGTCCTGTGTACGGGTAGAGGCCTCACAATGGGCCGATCCCTCGTCCAAGGAGTCCTACCAAAATGTCTATAGATCAGGCCAACGAAAAGTTGGGACCCGCAGTGCTCAGGCACTAGAAGAACGGGTCATCCCAGTATCCAGTAATTAATAAACACTCCTGTTTATCACATGTCAGTTATCCCCAATTGGATGTCCCTTGGAGTGGAAGTGTCATATATTATCTAGTTTTGTCATATTCGTGGTCATAGGTGCCCCTGCTCATCTTGTCTCAGTCAGTTGATTTTGTCTTTTATTGATGCCAAATCTTTTCTGTTCTCAAGTGAAATAGTGTTGTTTGTTTGTTTTTAAATTGTGCTTCAAATCAGTGTGCAGTAGTTTGAAGCCTCTACAGCTACATCTGCTTGCAGAATAATATGTACTGCTGTGAAATTTGAGCGAGAGATAAAACAACTCTCTTCTTAGTTAACAGGCTTCTAGAGGATACATAACATCCAGTTTGGCTGGCAGAAATAAGTTTGTTCTAAACTACACCACAGTAGTGTTTAAAAGTTCTGGCATGGTTCTCAGAATAAACCAGGATGGTTCAACTTTTTTAATTCCTTGAGCTAAGAATAGTTTTTCCATTGGATTCAAGGGCAACAAAAAAAGTAATACCCAGTTTTTGTTATCTTTAACAATGTGTATGATTTAAAACTTTCATGGCAAATTAAATGTTGGTGCTCGTGACATTGTCAGGCTTCAGAAACAAATGTGACCAACGTGATTTTCTCGGAGATTTTGTAGCTGCCCGCTTCCAAAAATAGTTTTAGATAACACCCTACAAATTTTGCATGAATTATCTTTGTACCATGTTTCAAATACTGAAATAACCTCAGATGTTATTAGACAATCTTTAAATAATTTGTTCAAGGATAACTGACATTTATGCATTAAAAGAAAAATATATTAATGACATGATCGTCAAGGAAGGTTGTAAATAGTTCGGACTTCGTGTAGGCTGGAATAGAAGTTGGTCAGACTTAACTGTGTTATGGGTAACATATTTGAAAATTTGAAAATTTTGGCCCATGCAGACCTCTGGTTGAAATTCACAGACACTTATCTGCTCAGTATGAGGATAATGTCACCTCAATAGAGATCGTCACAGGGTGCGTGGCGATAGCAGCCCTCATTCTGCTGTTCATACCAAGGAAACCCTTCATTAACTTAAATTTGACGCGGTTGTCCACTCACCACACAGTCAAGGTCCTACACCTTCGGATTTTCATATTTTGTCCAGGAAGGAGGCTTTGAGAGATTGCCATTTTACAGATGATGATGAAGTAAAGGAAACTGCACAACTGGCTTAAAAAAAGATGTATAAGAAAACTTGTGAACCATTTAATTAAATGTACTCAGAAGCACGGAGACTAGAAAAGTGGTAAACCTGTAAATTTCAAAATGTTCAGAACAAATAAATTATAAAGAAAGAGAATAATTACAGATACTTTTTGAATTGCCTGCATATTAATTAAGCTCAATTATGGGTATGTTATTTCAGATCGTTTTATACAGGTTATGAATTCATTCTTAGTAATCTAGTTCTTATTTTTAATTACTAGGTTAAAAAGCACAATATAAATGTAATTAATAATACTTTGTCACTGTTACATGGCATTTTAAACTTGTTTAGAGAGTAAATGCCAGGAGAACATTAGGATTGTAAATGACATTGCTTAAAGGTTAAATTCTTTAATACTGACACAAGAAATGTGTTGAATATATAAAACTGATTTTGTATTCTCAGATTAAAAATTAATTAAAGGCATAATGTTTTTATGTCTTTGCCAGTTAACCAGCCAGTGGAAATAATTGAAGATTAAAGAATTTATAATGCTGGCCTTGTAATCCTGGGATCGATTCCCAGCAGTGCCGGAATTTATAATTTGTGTTGGGCAAGCCTGTGGCCTAGGCAACACGGAGTTTTCCTCCGGGGCTTCCCCGGTTTCTCCGTGGCTACCCAACAATTCACACACAGGAGAAGGCAATGGAAAACCACTTCTGTATCACCTGCCTAAAAAAACATATGAACAGGTCCCAGTCCGAGAAAAGGATGGAAGGATCCTGTTCATAATATGTCGCCAACCTCCTGTAAAGGAGACGGCGTAATCAAGAAGAAAGAATTTATTAATTAGACAAATTGTTACATTTGTAGTGTTACATAATAGTAGCCTACTTCCTAATGCTAAATTATTTATGGTTACTGTTTTAAAGTCTTGTACTGTATTTTAAAGTACACATACTTCTGAACTGTCATTATGATGACTAGCTGCTGGGTGAAAGAAAACATTAGTTTTTCATATATGAGTAGTGTTACTGACAAAACTAGCCTCCATCCAACACTGAAATCTATATGGAGCTTAGCTTCATAACCTTGAAAGTCAAAAAAGCAGAGTACTTTGGCATGACAACTTCATTTTTAATAACAGATATAGAACTGGATATGATAAGCATGATATGTGTTTGCTGTTTGAATGAAAACCCTTGCAGTTGTATACATTAGATTGAAAAGCCATTAACTCAGATTCATAAAGCTTAAGAAGCAGTTTAATTTGTGTATTTATTCTTGTATTGTTTTCATTTGGCAACGATGTGGTTTCAAAATAAGGCAACAAGTAATTTGGAGTTGCATGAACACTTTGTGTAGGATGTATTTTATAATTTATAAATGGGATACTGCTCGAGTATTGAAATTTTACATTACAAATTTTAACGTCTTTTTTCTTACCTTCTCTCTCTCTCTCTTTTTTCTTCTCTTCTTCTTTCCTTTCTTTCTTCTTTTC